ATCGGTGGGCGGGGCTAAACAGGCAGCGCTGTAGCATCGGTGGGTGGGGCTAAACAGGCAGCGCTGTAGCATCGGTGGGCGGGGCTAAACAGGCAGCGCTGTAGCATCGGTGGGTGGGGCTAAACAGGCAGCGCTGTAGCATCGGTGGGCGGGGCTAAACAGGCAGTGCTGTAGAATCGGTAGGCGGGGCTAAACAGGCAGCGCTGTAGAATCGGTGGGCGGGGCTAAACAGACAGTGATGTAGAATCAGTGGGCGGGGCTAAACAGACAGCGCTGTAGCATCGGTGGGCAGGGCTAAACAGGCAGAGATGTAAAATAGGTGGGCGGGGCTAAACAGGCAGTGATGTAGAAGCAGGCATTGATCTTCTTCTGTGGAGGCGGTGCTTATCCACACTATTACATCATAGAGTAGAACATTCCACAAGCTGTGGTTTTGACAGACTGACTTCAATATAAGCTGTTTTTAACGACAAAGTTTTGAGTTCTGAAACTTACAAGATGGTTTTAAAGTACAATTGACTCTTATATGTCAAACGATCAAGGGAATTTTGGTTTCTCAGTTCATGACCCGTTTAAATTTCAACTTTTACACGCAGCGCCGCTTCATCAGTGTCAGTTCCAAAACAGTGGACCAATCAGAAGAGCCCAGAGGCGGGGCAAGCGTTGCAAGCTTTTGTTTACAATAGTAAGTAATTGTAATTGTAATTGGCATGGCAACTGTTTTATTTGACGGGAAAACAGCGGAGGATGCGTTCTGCACTGCTTCTTTTTTTTTTAAACATTCCTGAGCGCTGCGTCTCACTATTTTAGATGCAAACACGCCTTCTGTGTGAACGGGCCATAAGTTTTCAATACTACTTCAGTCTTTCTACTTTAAAATCTCACAATCAATGTCTTACACTGAAGGATGTTTAGATATTTGAACTGTAAAACAAGACAGAAATACTGAGGAATATCAGCATTTTTTTTGCATTTAATGTCATGACTTTATGAATTTAAGACTTTCTGTTCTGATTTAAGACCTTTAAAGGCCTTCATTTGTCAAAAGGTGAAAATCATTTCAAATTAAATCATACACCAATTTTTTTCAAATGTAATGTTAACATTTAATGAATGGCCATATTCATTATCACAGACAGTTTGTTTATGTGTCATAGATGAAATATTGCATTGTTTATTCATTTAATATATGATAGTGATAATACGAAATAAAATATTTACTGAGAATATCTAAGCAGATTTAAGAGTGCCATCAAATAACATCCAGTCAAGATAATAAACATGAGCTTTAAACACAAATAACATACTAATAATAATATAATATACTAATAATATACACAAATTATTCAAAGTCTGAGCAGAAACTCTGTAACTTGCGTTATAATTACAGATGAAGTCACATAATCACACAGTCTTCAGGTTCACTGATAATAATTACACTGGAAAGTTCCTGCAATACTAGCAGTTTAAAATTTAAAAACTGTAAATGTAAGCTTTTTAAAACCATTTTAACAAAGCCACATCACCTCTTTTATAATAATAACAACAATAATAACACTGGAATTTTCCTGCATACTTTCACTGAAAAATTCTGGGTGTAAATATGTTTTAAGGCTATTGAAACATTTGAAATAAAGCTATATCACCGGATTTATAATAATAATATTAACAAAACTAATACTAATAATATCCCAATAATAACAATATGTGACCCTAGACTACAACGGGTATATTTGTAGCAATAGCCAACAATACATTGTATGGGTCACAATTATAGATTTTTCTTTTATGCCAAAAATCATTAGGATGCTATTATTATAAAATAAATGTTTAATTTCCTGTGTAACATACAGTGAAAGCAGGCTGATGCTGCACACACACACACAGACACATACACACACTCTCTCTCAGCTGTGTGACCCAGTTTCGCCTGCAGGAATATCGGAGCAGATTCTGGTCGTGTACCTCGCATCAGTTGCTGCTGATATCAGACACACAGAAACAGAAGCGACACGAACCGATTTAATGACGCGCGCGTGTCTAATTAACGCCTCGCGCTCACCGCAGACCCGAACGCTCATTTGCGTGAATGCAAAGAACAAACTCACCTGAATGACGATGATGGTGATGATGAAGCACAGCGATAAAACCCAGCGGAGAGCAGAACTCATGTTCGGTCGGGAATCGATCGGGCTCTTTGATCCCCAGCGTCGCGCATCCGAACAATAGCGAGCGATCGAACAGCGATCGGAGCGCCGAACCTAGCCGAAGATGAACGAGTGGAGCTTCCGCCGTCAGAGCGCGAGCGTTCCGTCCATCAGCCGGTTCCGTGCGCTCGGTATCGGGTCTGTGGTTCGGCTCTGAGGGACGGATGAATGATGGAGACCCACCGAGGCTCTAATGAAGCGCAGCAGCGGGTTTCTGTCTCTCGGGCCGCGTCTCAAATCCTCCGGTGCGCCCTAACTAGGGTGCAGCGTTAGTGGGCGCCGCGCCTGTGTCTCCCTCAAAACGCCTCGTGCGCCAGCGACGCCCAAACGCTGTGCACTATCTAGACAGCTGAGCGGGATTTGAGACGCGGCCCTCTGTAGCCCCGCCCTGAATCTCTGAACACAGTCTGAATCTCATCACATGAACAAACCTGCTTTACATCATCCTCATATCTTGCCTCATATTTACACATCAACAACAGTTGCATTCACTGTCATCTGTTTATATGAAATACGGCACTATTTATGGACGTTATTAAATAAAATATTTTTAAAAAACTCATATCTATTCATCCGAGAAGTGCATTAAATGCAATTAATTCAGGCTATCAAAAAGGCTAAAATAAGGATTTATAACTCACTAAATACAATTAATTAATTGATTTAAACAAATAAACACAAACAATGCCAGGTTAGCAGCCAAGCTAGTTATTTTGTTTCAGCTATTTTCCAAAGCAACATTTAGAATTTTTATTCAATTTATCTTGTACTAAAATAATCAAAACAGGAATAAAAATTAATAAACCTATATAGACATAGGCCTATAAAAAACTAATAAAAATTATGGAAACACAACAAAATTACTAAAACTTCAGTTTAAATGAAAACACAAAAATAAAAACTATTTCAGAATATTAATTAAAAAAAAACATAAAAGTATCTCAGTGATACTAACGTTTTTTTTTTACTTTTCACTTTTATTAATATGTTGAACTCATTTTTATTATATGTTTTTTTAAATTTTTTTTTTTTAAGTTAAAGTTTTGCAATTTTGTGTCAGTTTTAGTAGTTTTTTAAGTGCCTATATAGTATTCATTCATTTTTATCTTAGTTATTTTAGCACATCAAGACAAACTAAATGAAAATGAGAAATGTTGCACTGGCATGTTACATTTTCTTTTTAATATTATTTTATTCCTATTCTATTCTATATATAGCACAACTATACGTACAGTGTGTTTTATTTTTCAATTTATTTTCCTATTTTTTGTTTATTTATATTATATTTATAATATGTGTATTTTTTATTGTCTGTGTGCTGTTGTTGTCTCTGTGTACACTAAAACAAATTCTTGTACTGTATGCACAAACATATTTGGCAATAAAGCTCTTTCTGACTTCTGACATATAATTTTAGATTTAGCCTAGTTAACTAACTCTGACACTAAAATAACATAGCTTGCGACTAAATCGGCCGTCATATACGTGTGTTATTACATGATAACTCAGATAAACTATTAATCTAATACATGGAAATCAAGTAGTTTGGACCTAGAAGCTTTCCGTTTCCAGACCAGAGCTTAAATTTAAAAATTTTTAAATCTGGATTTCCTGTCTGAAATCCTGTGCTGACCAGCTGGCCCCCATCTTCACACAGATCTTCAACAGATCACTGGAGCTGTGCGAAGTCCCTTCATGCTTCAAACGCTCCACCATCATCCCCGTCCCAAAGAAACCGAAAATTACAGGACTAAATGACTACAGGCCTGTGGCTCTAACGTCTGTGGTCATGAAGTCTTTTGAAAAAACTGGTGTTGGCCCACCTGAAGGACATTACTGGACCCTTACTGGATCCTCTTCAGTTTGCCTACAGAGCAAACAGGTCTGTGGACGATGCAGTCAACATGGGACTGCATTATGTTCTGCAACATCTAGACAGACCAGCGACTTATGTGAGGATCCTGTTCGTGGACTTCAGCTCGGCCATTAACACTATCATCCCAAACCTCCTCCTGCCCAAACTAACTCAGCTCTCCGTGCCCACCTCCGTCTGTCAGTGGATCAACAGCTTCCTGACAGACAGGCAGCAGCTAGTGAGGCTGGGAAAACTCACATCCAGCACCTGTATAATCAGCACTGGAGCTCCTCAGGGCTGCGTCCTCTCCCCACTGCTCTTCTCCCTGTACACCAACGACTGCACATCTAAAGACCCCTCTGTCAAGCTCCTGAAGTTTGCAGACGACACCACACTCATCGGCCTCATTCAGGACGGTGACGAGTCTGCTTACAGACAGGAGGTCGAGCAGCTGGCTGTCTGGTGCAGTCTCAACAACCTGGAGCTCAACACGCTCAAAACTGTGGAGATGACCGTGGACTTCAGGAGAAACCCCCCTGCACTCCCCCCACTCACCATCATGGACAGCACTGTGACTGCAGTGGAGTCATTCAGGTTCCTGGGCACCACAATCTCTCAGGACCTGAAGTGGGACACTCACATTGACTCCATTGTGAAAAAGGCCCAGCAGAGGTTGTATTTCCTTCGCCAGCTGAGGAAGTTCAACCTGCCACAGGAGCTGCTGAAACAGTTCTACTCCGCCATCATTGAATCCATCCTCTGCACTTCAATAACTGTCTGGTTCAGCTCAGCTACCAAATCTGACCTCAGAAGACTACAGAGGGTAGTTTACTTGTTCTATTTTTTATTATCTGTGTTTTTTTGTTCTGTCACTGCCATTCTGTTGCACTGCGGAAGCTTCTGTCACGAAAGCAAATTCCTCGTATGTGAAAACATACCTGGCAATAAAGCTCATTCTGATTCTGATTCTGAAATAAGGTAATAATAAACAGAATCCAGGTACTTACATGTACAAAACCTCACTGAACATGCCTGGATTTTTCACCTCCATCGCTTACATTTCTTCTCGGTTCTTCACATTTCTAATGTGTGAAAAAACATCTAATTAAACATATTGAAAGAGTCATATGAACAACACAAACTTAATGGGCTAGTGAACAAACACTGAAGATTGAAGAACTGACCCATTAACCTTCACAAACATCATAAATAAGAGGGTCAGACTGCTGTTGGCTTTATTTAGAAATCTCAAACTCATAATGAAGTGCACTGTTTTCATCTTATATTGTGATTCATCAGCAGGACAGGAGACAGAGACAGACAGACAGACAGCAACAGAGGCGCCCAGCCAATCAGCGTCCAGTTTCCCCTCCTCTTTTCTTTCCTCAGATGAGAGCTGCTTTCTGATTGGCCGGTGATGGAACGTGGACAAAGGGTTTCCCTGATGAGCTTCAGTCTTAAACAGCGATCACGTGATCTCTGGAATCAGGAGCTGCAAATCAAATCTGCTGGAAAGTAGATGCTACATGTAACATTAATATTTAGTACAGATCGGGTATGTTTTATTGTTACATTGTATGTGTTAATGTGCGTATTTGTAGCAGCAGCTGCAGAAGCTAAATCTGAGCGCTGTCGCCCTCTAGTGGCCTAATGTAAAAACTACTACATGCTAAAGGGATATTTCCCTCACAAATTATCATTCTGTCATCATTTACTCATCCTCATGTCGTTCAAAACCCCTAGGACTTACTTTCCTTCTTCTGTGGAACACTAAAGCTGATATTTAGTACAATGTTCACGCTGCTTTTTTACATAAAATGAAAGCAGACAGTGATCCGGAGCTGTTCACGTTCAAAAACACCATGAAATCACATTGGATCACAATCAAGTTTTATTAGAGTACCATAACAGTGGTGCATACACAAGTGTTTAGCAACGCGAGACTTGAATGTGCGAGACTTCCGCATTTAGCTTCGCAGTAATAAACAGGAAAATGAATGAAATTTAAATAATAAAAATACCAGTTTGAAATATCAAGCAGCAAAGTTAGAAATAAGGTGGATGTTGTATGCGTTCAATATGTGGCGTATATTGTGTTGTATGTGCTCTCTCTCTCTGTGTGTGTGTGTGTGAGAGAGAGAGAGAGAGAGAGTGTGTGTGTGTGTGTGTGTTAAAGTGTTCTTGTTTATGCTACTTTGTGGGGACCACAATAGTAAAACCTGAAATTTTTGACATTGTGGGGACCGGCCTCTGATCCCCACGAGGGAAAAAGTGATTAAAAATAGTAAATGATGTTTATCTGAAAGTGTAAGAATGCAAACAGGTTTCCTGTAAGGGGTAGGTTTAGGGTTGGGTTAGGGTATAGAAAATATCGTTTCAGTTATTGGTCAGTATAAAAGTAATAGAAGTCTATGGAAAGTCCCCACAATTCACTGAAAAAAACGTGTGTGCGTGTGTGTGTGTGTGAGAGAGAGAGTGTGTGTGTGTGTGTGTGGTAGTGCTGAAGTCCAATTAAATATATACGTAGTATATTTGATTGTGCTAAAGTGAAACTATTGCAAGTGTGCTTCAGGTAGTTTAAATATTTTGCATTTAAAGACCGATATTATTCAAAGATCAATATACTTAGTATATTTGATTGTGCTAAAGTGAAACTATTGCAAGTGTGCTTCAGGTACAGTTTAAATATTTTGCATTTAAAGACCGATATTATTCAAAGATCATACAATCCTCATCAAAAGTGACATTAAAACACATTTTAGACTTAATATTAAGAAATGTGCATTGTGCACAAGTAGTACGCGAAATAAAGTTTAATTATATTTTTTATATCAGCAAGTCTCGAGTTATCTGTCAGTAAATATGTTAATAGATTTGAACTATACTTAGTATGAAATAAATGTATTTTAAATATGTTACTTTTTTACTAGGGCACTTTAAATACATTTTTCAAAAAACAAGATATCTTACATCTCAATTATTATAAATATATGTCTTAAAAACAAATAACTGCCAATGTGGCCGGAAAAATAAACTTAATTTAAAGAGAAAATTTATTTTCTGACCCCACTTGACAGGATTTTTAATTTTCAAATTTGAATTTTCAAAATTTTCAAATTTGGAATTTTTCGAAATTTTCAAATTTGGAATTTTTCAAAATTTTCAAAATTTGAATTTTTCAAAAACACATTTGATACATTTTTCTAACATCTTAACAACAAAAATCTGCCAACATGGTCAGAAAAATATTGTTTACCCTTTTGAAGATGATTTTTCTTATGCAACTGGCAGGTTGTTTTCTTGTTTTAAACAAAAATCACATAATTTTGATAAACCTTCTGTCATGTTGTTTCTCAAGTAAATTTATCTTGATTGAAGAACAAGAGTACTGAGTAAGAAACTGATTTTTTGCCGTGCTGATATCTTACATCTCAATTATTATAAATATATGTCTTAAAAACAAATATCTGCCAATGTGGCCGGAAAAATAAACTTAATTTAAAGAGAAAATTTATTTTCTGACCCCACTTGGCAGGATTTTTAATTTTCAAATTTGAATTTTCAAAATTTTCAAATTTGGAATTTTTCGAAATTTGGAATTTTTCAAAAGTTTCAAATTTGGAATTTTTCAAAATTTTCAAAATTTGAATTTTTCAAAAACACATTTGATACATTTTTCTAACATCTTAACAACAAAAATCTGCCAACATGGTCAGAAAAATATTGTTTACCCTTTTGAAGATGATTTTTCTTATGCAACTGGCAGGTTGTTTTCTTGTTTTAAACAAAAATCACATAATTTTGATAAATCTTCTGTCATGTTGTTTCTCAAGTAAATTTATCTTGATTGAAGAACAAGAGTACTGAGTAAGAAACTGATTTTTTGCCGTGCTGATGATGAGATGATCATGTGAAAGAAGACAGTACACTCTTAAAAATAAAAGTGTGTTAAAGGTTCTTCACAGCGATGCCACAGAAGAACCATTTTTGGTTCCACAAAGAACCATTCAGTCAAAGAACATCTCTTTCTTACCTTTTTATAATCTGAAGAACCTTCTTTCGCTACAAAGAAGCTTTTGTGAAACTGAAAGGTTCTTCAGATGTTAAAGGTTCTTTATGGTACCATTTAGACAAAAAGGTTCTTCTATGGCATCACTGTGAAGCAAGCAGATCCTTCAGTGACGTTTAGGCTCAGATCATCTCACCTCAGATGCTGTAGGACAGAAGATCATCTACAAACAAATTGTTTACAAGCTTCACTCATCATCACGAGAGTCTGGATGATCCAGTATTTGAGGAATCATCTAATCAGATCATCAGAAGCTGCTGATCAGTCTTCATTCATCAGTGCAGATGATCATACCTTCATGACATAGATTTTCTCCACACAAAGTGCTTAAATATTCGACTGTAGAAACTGAATGTTAGGTTCTGAGCGAGTGCTGGATTAAACACATCCTTTATATAATGATGATCTGCTGTTTTACATCCGTCATCTGTTTCAGGTGGAGATGATGCTGTCGCTATGGTGACTGCGTCCGCTCTGTGATTGGCTCGTTCTGCGTGCGTCGTCATGGCGATGAGTCCAGAGGTGAAGCTGGCTGTGTTCGGCAGAGCAGGAGTGGGAAAGTCAGGTGAGAGCGAGACGTTATCTGTTAATACATGAATTATATAAATGAAGATCTTATGATAAAGTAAATCCATCCGATATGCACAGCCAGACGATATTTCCATTAGACCATCCTGCTGCCGTCTGAAGTTCAACATTAGTGTGAATTTACAGGGTTTATGAAGGTACATTTAAGACTACTCAAGACCAATAACACTTCAAAGTTTTTAAAAAACAATTTTCATTTGTTTTAAAAAAATACGACTTGAATAGCTTTACTCTCGGTACCTTCTTAAAACACGGCAAAAAATTCTGCTCTTCCTCAGTATTTTTGACTTGTTTTCCAGCATCCTTAAATCAAGATACATTTACTTGAGATACTAAATTACTTTATATTAAGTTGTTTTTTGAACAAATAAGAAAATGAGAAAATATCTGCCAATGGGCTCAGAAAAATAAACTTAGTTCAAAGGAAAAACAAGATTATTTTTCTGACCCCACTGGAAGATACTTTCTCATTTTAAGCATAAACTCACTTAATTTTGATACATTTTAGAAAACAAGTCTTAATATTTACATTTTATATTTTTATTTTAACATAACAATACATTTTAAAATTTAAATTATTTTTATTTCTTCAAAATAAATATAAAATGTTCATAATTCCTTTAATAACAAGAAAAATAATCATTTTCCCTTTGAATTAAGTTTATTTATTTTTCTGATCCCACTGTTCCTGTTTTAACCATATACTCACTTAATTTCGATATATATTTCAGAAAACAAGACTTCATATCTTCAGTCGTTTTGATTCTCCAGTAAATGTATCTTAATTTAATCACATTTAGAAATTCGTTCTGGAAAACAAGACTAAAATAGTGAGAAAGAACTTAATTTTTGCAGTTCAGAGTTCAGCTGAAACAGTTGGGTCTTATGAATTATTATTATTTTGGTGGCTATTTCTATAAGTGGAATTGTGAAGCCAGTATAAAAAGTGAAATATATTCTTAAACCAGTGACAAAAATAAGGGATGATATTTTCCCCCTTAAACGTGATTTCAGGGACTTTACTCTTTATGAGGGCACATTTTCTAACCTTATTAAATGTATGCATTAGGAATGCACCGATATGAAAATTTTGGCCGATACCGATAACCGATAATTCTTTATATATGAAAGCCGATAACCGATACGTTGGCCGATAAATCTAAATCCAAATTTTTATATAATTTTTGAGAGCCTGATTACAAAAAAAGTCTCACCATTAAAAGCCATTAAACACTTCAACATAAATCAAACATAAAGCAGCCTTACAAATAAATAAAATAATGCATACAAGTCACTGGACAATAATGTTATATACTGTATATGATAGTCCTAGTTATTAATGTTGTGCGCTGCTAACACCGGCAAACTGAAGCACTCTATTAACCCTCTATTAGTTTAACCAAACGCATTCTATATGCGATAAATCCGACCTATATGCATAAAATAAACACAATATTACAACGTACAATTGCACAAAAGGCTGCAAATGCACAAGCGAACTTAACTGTGCTGGTCATGAAGGTGCAGCTCCGTTGTGAATGCACTCTTCCCGTAACAACGCGCTTAAACACGGGCGCACAAAGATTCCATAACATTATTTAACAGTAATGTTCTCATTATATTATGACAGACTTGCCCTGCACATGTTGCACTTCACTGTATTTTCCTTTTTGAAGTGATTCCAATAATATTTCAAGCAATTAAAAACCATCATGGTGAACAGTGCGCATCTGAAGTGAAATAATGCATTATTTATCGGCTTTAATATATCGGCACAATTTTCTTATCGGTTCGATAATGATAACATAAAAATTTACATTTATCGGTACCGATATGGTGGCCGATATATCGTGCATCCCTAGTATGCATCATCATTTATATAAGTATTTAATAAATGCAATTAGTATAAGACACTTCAGGGCTGTTACTAATCAAATGAAATCAATATCAATAAAATCTATCTTTGCAAAAGTGGCACACAATATGGCATATAGATGTACGCAGTATTTAATGCAGCTTAGAGATGGCATGAATGCATTTACACTGCAAACATGTTAGAAGCTTAATGTGGTAAATATAGCATATACTGAACTATGAAATGATGCTTTAAATATAAAATTGAAATCACCGATAGGTGGCGACAAGTTACCGTCTTAATGCGTGAGTCATTGATTCACTCTGATTCATTCAAAACGGCTGATTCATTCAGAAACTAAGCAAATTTTCTTACTACTTCTGCTATAGAAAGATATGCTAAAATAGTATGAGTAGTATACTAGTATACCGTTTCGAATTTAGTTGTTGAATCACTCACCTGATTCGTTCAGAAACGTCATAGTGGTACAATGATTGGTCGAGCAAACAGTCCATAATGACAATAATGTGTCTAAAATTAAATTAACATTAATTGCGTTTAATTTAGTTACTATATATCAGCACTTTTCAAAGTCCAGACTCCTTACTTATTTGTGGCGGCTTGTCACAATATCAAAACTGACCGCCACAAATAGATTTTCCAAAAGGCTTATACTTGGTTGAATAAACAAATCAAAATGCGGCACGGGTGTTTTTATATGAATGTATCTTCGAAAAGAACCGACCGTCTTCAGAAAAGCTCGATTTCGTTTTTTTAACACTAAATTGTGTTAAAATCACTGATCTGTAATAGGGAACTATATATTATATTTATATAGATCAGTGGTTAAAATGCAAAAGTGCATGTTAAAACCAAATGCAGCTTTAGGTTTTTATATGAATGTATCTTTGAAAAGAACCGACCGTCTTCAAAAAAGCTAAAATTTTATTTCGTCGTTCCTGTAATGCCTGATAAAGTAGCGTTCGTGAGCGTGGCGCTGATTTGTTTACAGCCGTTACCGTGGAAACCGCTATACTTCTTCCGCTCCAAAAGCGCCTCCTGCTGGCAGAGAATTAATTTGCATTTGCAAGTCTGTGGGCAAACATAAACAAAAAGCTTCAGAACTGTTTTGAAAAGGTGCTTAAGTTTTGAATTAGGCTACTACTACTATTACTATTGCTATCTTGTGCCCTGCAATAAACATTTACTCTCTTTTATGAGATGAAGGGGGAAAAGAAGAAAATCGGCATCATAACTGGCCATCGGCTGCCCTGATTTCTAAATATCGGCATCGGCCAGAGAAAAACCCATATCGGTCGACCTCTATTGCTGACACTTGAATCAATTGTTTTGCCATCTTTGCACTTATTATTAATGTATTTTGAATGCAAAAGGCACTTTATTTTTTCAAAAAAATTAGTGTTGATTTGTTATGCATGTTTATAAAAAACAAGTTTTGTAATAACCAATTGTTCCGGACCTTTGACATTGATGAAAATTAAGATTTGGACCTTTGAATGTAGACTTTGAGAACCCCTGCTATATATCATTGTATAAAGTGTAAAATAATGATCTTAAAAGAAGGACAAGTGAGCGTCCAGCTGAAGTCTGCGCCAGTAGATGACACCTGAAACCAGACTTATCTGAATCTGACTGATATGCAAATTGATTAATCGCCGTTTTAGGGTCTCGAGATTAATTATAGCACACGGGATGGGAAGCAGTGTGATTTCTGCATTAACTCTGAGTGCAGTTCAGGTCATCAGTCTGAGACGGAGATGGAAAAAATGCGAGTGTTTGTGTTACGCTGGTTAATCTGTCCGGAGCCGTGATGAAGATGCTGCTGAGGAGCGTTTCACACCGAACGTCCAGACCACCAAAGATCCAGCCAGATGCTCGTGACTTCATAAATATCAGCCTGCAATAACACGAGGAGAGTTACGGCCGTAATACTGATGCACACACACACCGAACACACCAGACAAAAGCGTTAAAACCAATCCATTATATGCTATTATTCACGTCAGCGGCTGACATCTCACGCAGGAAATTGAACATCGGAGTAGCAATGAAATTAGTGATTAGAGGTGACATTTTTCAGAGGTCTGTGTGCTCTGACTCGAGGAAATGCTAAAGATAACACACATACAGTGGAGGGAAATGATGGCCGAATGAACCCGGCTAATAAACATGACCTATTTTACGCTGGAGGGCCGTGACGTGTTCCAAAATATGACTTTATTTTAGATTAAATGAATAAATCAGACGTGTAACCACAAGGCTATTCTTACTTCTGAAGTCGTAATTACGAGTTTGTTGTGCTCAAGTGGTTTGTTAATAAATCGTATTAAAGCCAAAATGCAATTTAATCAATATCCAAAGGATTTTTTAAATAAAATGAAGTGTCACATTTGTTAACAATCATATAAACCGGCGCAGAAGCTTCATCTAGCTTGCTGATTCTGATGCTTTGGTGAAATAAATGCTTAAAAATACACACAATATGCATTAAATGGTTATTTATGTATGTAAATATACATAACTGTAATGGCTAGAGAAAGCAATGTTATGGAAGATTCATTCCGCCACAGAATAAAAAAAAATAAAAAAAAAGGTAATTGCAACTTTTTATCTCAGATTTCTGACTTTTTTTCCTTGCAATTCCTCGCGAATCAGACTTTTTTTTTTTTCAGAGTTGTGAGATATAGACTAAAAAATGGAATACATAGTCAAAATTGTGAGAAAAAGTCAGAAGTGTGAAATAAGCTCAGAAAATATATTAAATATTGCAAGATATAAACTTTCAAAGGCTAAATTGTGAAGTTTTTGTGACTTTTTATCTCACAATTATGATGTTTTTTCTCCCAATTTCAAGTTTATATCTCTCAATTTGTATTTACAGAATTGCGAGAAGAAAGTCTGGATTGATGGGGGGAAAAAAAGTCGCAATTGCGTTTTTTATTCTGTGAAGAAAATAAGCTTCCTTATGATGAAGATGCTGTGGGAAAAATGAATAAAATGTAACAGTCTAGAGCAATAGTTTATGGTTTTTATTAAAACTATCTCGTAAATACGACTCGACAGGCCGTTCTTGTCCAGTGTCCGAATAGGAATCGTTTTTA